TATATATATATATATATATATATATATATATATATATATATATATATATATATATAAACTTTAGCCAATCTAAATTAAATTTTGTCATATTTGAAACATCAGGAATTTAATGTTTTTGCTGTATGAATAATCATGCAAACCGTATCATTCCAATAAGTGTTTAAATATTACTAATAATATAAAAGTTATTCTTATGTTTATTTTATAAAAAATCAGTAAAGATTCACACAAAAAGGACACATGGACATTTTTAGAATTATAAAAAAAGAGAGAGCTTTTACTTGCTGAAAAATATATTTACTTGCTGAAAAATATAATAAATATATAAATATTAGACAAAGGCATGTACAAAATTGTAACAGGTTTCTCAGCCAAATTTTGAACATACTCTACAGGTTTTCTTTTTCTTTGCATTTTGTGTTCTTGATAGAGCGTGGCTCTAGGACGCCAAGGTGGTGGTTTTGATTTCCTTTGACACTGATACACACACTGCACTTTTAATGTGTTTGCATGCATACAAAATGCCAAGAATTGAAATACACGTCATAACATGTTCTAGTCTGTTTTCTGTTTTTTTCTAGTCTGCTTTCATTTCTCTCTAAAGTAAGTCTATTGCTGAAGTCATGTTCCTTTGTGTCCGGGTCATGACAGAGCTATAAAGCCATTGTAAGGCTAACGAGGGCTCTCGTGGTGAACAGCAGGACAACACAGACATAATGAATATACATGTTTTTCTTGTGGCAAGCTGTGCTATTTGTTTAAATTTTCTCGTCATATCTTGTTAAAAGTGACATTAAATGGTATTTATGACTTATTTAATGTATGTAATGTAACATATTTGTGGCACAGAAAATTCAGTGGAAAATTGATCTTTATCCATATGTATTTGATTGGAGTGTGGATGTTATATGATATTATAAGTTAAAATGTGTATCACTGCCCACACAGCCTTGGTATTATCAGCAAAAAAGACAAGTAGATGAGGAACGTGCATTAAGATGTTTAAAAAATTGATTTCATGTCGTTTTTAAGGCTAAGCAATAAATTAGACAATAAATCTGATTTATCATGTACACTGGAGATATGGTGAATTTGAATGATGTGTTGTAGTTGTATGTGGTCTGAATATGTCATTTAGGGGAACAGGTGTCCATGGATGTAGAGAATTACTCTTTCTCTCTTCGCTATAAATCACACAGAGAGATGGAAGGGGTTAGAGGTCATCCTGGGTCATTATATCTCTCTCTTTGTTGTCAACATCCTATAGAATCCTATCCACCTTTTTCTTGTCGTAAAAATGGGCGTGGCCATTTGTAAATTCTATGGGTCTGGCTTCCAGTCTCATCTGCGTCCACTCAGTCCAGCTATTTTTAGCTGACCAAAACAGTTCGTTTTGCTGCTTGATATTGAAAGTTGGTGTGTCTTATCATTTTTCTTTAATGTATTATCTTAATAATGAACACACTGGTTTGTAGTGCAAACAGTTTTACCGTTTTATTCTCCTTGTTATTTACCTATAGCGGCTAATGAACCGGACGTCTCACCCATAGGCTTACTTCTACATTGAAGAAAAAGGTGGATATGTTCATAAAAAGAACCTTTGAAAAAGTATTGCACATAATAATAAATTCTTTGATCTCCATTTGTTAATGTTAAGTTACAAATGAAGTTTTTGTTCACAAAGTGTAATTGGTAAGCCAGTGATATTTTTAAATTCAGTGTTCTTATGGAAATAAAATTAACAGTATATAATATTTTCCAATTTTTGTATATTCAATGCGTTGTTGGGCCACAGTGTCAATTTCAGTTATAGTATTTTTTTCAACAAACCGTACTGATGGATTAAATCCACTGAACTGATGGAAACATTAGGGATGCAACAATACAGTTACCACATGGTTCAATACATATCTCGATAATTTGTTTAACCATGGATTTTTCGGTTCGAGTCTGATGGCTTGGCACATCAGAGTGTTTATTTAAAATGTGATTTAAAAAAACAACAACAAATTAACAAACAAAAATCTGTACACTACACTTCTGTACACTAGAGAAAAACGTGGATTATTATGTCACATGTATTATGTCCTTAAAATTTTTAAAGCGAGGTATTATTTTTACTATTTTTACCCAAAATAGGATGGATTGGCCATTATTGAGTGCTAAAAGCACACGTAATATCTGTTTCATTCATACTGGATCCCAGAGAGCACCCTCGCACAGAAACTCCACATTTGCATCACAGAAGTAATAGAACTGATGACGCTCCAAGAAATCCTTAATATGGATAATGGTATCTCTGTCGCTGTAACTGAATAAAAAGAAGATAGAAACGCTTTGAATGATGAAACATAAAGACAATAAACACTCGCCTGCGACAATATAGTTGATCTGTGTTCTTTAAGCCATCTCTGGTATTTTCATAATGATTAAGTACATTTGTTATCCATTGCTAATCGACATCATAGCCTTAATTACAATATATAAAATTTTTTGCCTCATTCTGTGCTAAGAAGCCACATCAGATCACAGAAGGAAGTTATTTCAAACACTCGACTGATGTTGTGAAGTAAAAACAAGTAATTTTCTCTTTTGTTGGACAACAGGTTTAGAAACGCTTTTCATTACAAGCCATTACAAGGGAAGGCGTTTGGTGTGTTGCTTTTTCAAATGCACGTTATAAGCGGGTAGTCGTTTCTCATATCATCACGTAGGCTCACGGGCACACACAGAGAACCAATTCTGAGAGAAATAAAACACAGGAATTATTTAAACGCAAAACCAAAAAAAACGCTATTCAGAAGTGCGTATGGAACCATGGATGTTATTCCGAATGGTTCAATATTATAATGAGAATTGTGACATCCCTAGTAACCATATAACCGACAGACTCAGACATGTTTGTTGATGAATGTGACCTTTCTAGTTTTTTTATGCAAAGGCAATATTTGATGCATAGTCTGTATAACCTTAAGTAGATGCAAGCAGTTGTATCTGATTAATGTCTTGTAATAGAGGCTAAATGCTTTTACCTGACTCTGGCTTATTTATTGAGAGAGACAACTTTGACAGCCAAATCCCTCAGGCGTTCTTCCTAGTGACGGTACTAGCTTGTATGGCGCCCTGGGCGAACCGCCCCTTACGTAATTTGAAAAAAAAAAACGACAATACAGAACATACACAAAACTGGAGTGACACCTTTATACACACACACACACACACACACACGCATAATGTTGTGACGATTGCAAAAAAATGCTAAAGTGTTAAATTGATGCTATAATAATGACTTGATAATGTCTAAATATAAATCTAAATGAAAACTTAGGTATGATATATAAGGGGCATTGAGTAATCCTCTGCTGCTAACTTGTGGCATTCATGTTATTTTTTAATTTTAAAAGTTTTTTTCCAACAGATGGCAGCAATCTTTCACTAAAAACCATGGTGCATTTTTGTTTTATTCATTTCATCTAGTTTGAGAAACAGAGATCTTATTTAAAGTGATTTAAAAAAAAATGCTATTCTTTTTAATTATCACAAATTAAGGCAAATTAAAAAATACCATAAATCTCCCCCAAACTGCCCAAATGCACAGAAAAAACATATTATACTCATAACGATATGAGTGATAGCTGCATAGATACTGTACCTTTATTTTTTTCACATTTCCCCTCCTCATTTTCCTAATTTAGGCTCCTGGTAGCTTAGACGTTTTTTTGTCTTTTCCATTATTTTAATTCATGTTAATTTAGAACTGTACTGATGTCACAGATGAAACTGGAAACCCTCAGGTGACGTAATCCTGCTTACTTTTTCTGAGTGAGAGTATTTCTCCAGGCGAGTGTCCCGACCAGATTAACTGTCCCACACGGGGACATGATATCATTGACCTGATGTGCAAATGAGTGGTAAAACCACAATTGCGCTTTCGTGCATTCTTTTTTTTTCTCCCATGGGTGCCCCATGCTGCCCCTATCAAGTTGCCACCCTGGGTGGTTGCCCATGTCTAAATCTTCCACTTCCTTTACAAAAGACAGCAGAGCGGAAGACACAGACAGCTGCACTGTAAAACGTGTTTAAACATTCATCTTAAATTTTACAGTCTACAGTTTAAAATAAATACATATATTACATTTGAAATCTAGAATTTAGACTAAGATTTGTTGTTTGAAGCTCAAAGCACTGGTTTTTTAACTCCCTCTGGCTTTGAAGAGTCAGTGTAAAGAGTGGAGGCTGGGAATGTTGATGTGGGTTTTGGGATGTATGAATCTCTAATCTAAATGCATTAGTACCCACTGCTGAACATGAAAATTATCACAGATTTACATCTTTGTGTTTTGTCTCTTTCAGTCACAGATGAAGACACTGTCAAACGGTACTATGCCAAGTTTGAGGAGAAGTTCTTTCAGACATGTGAAAAGGAGCTCTCCAAGATCAACACATTCTATTCAGGTATAGTTTTCCCTACATGCCTTCAAAAATGTTGATGTGTGTGTGTATATATATATATATATGTGTGTGTGTGTGTGTTTTACTGTTACTTTTGATCAATTTAATGTAATTTGGTTGAATAAAAGTATTATTTGAATTTAATTAAACAATCTTACTGGCTCCAAAACAAAGTGTATATAATAAACACTTACATTTCCCACAAAAATAAAGTGCATATATCCTCAATCAGTCTTACAATAACTTTTTTGAGGATTACAGGAGAGTTTTCTTGAGCATTAATGATCATTAAGAGTTAACTTTTAATAATCCTAACTGTTTGGCTACATATGCGTTCTTTCTGTAACTCATAAATAGCACAAGTGGAAACATTCTGAACTGCTGAACTGCAGTGGCCGTCAAGGGATTCCCTGTGCATGAGGTCTGGGTGTACAGCACTATTTGGGAACATGATGTAATATGAAATGTCATTTTGACATGCGTCAAGGGGAATAGACTATGTTTGGACTGATAATATATGCACACACTGCAACATAAGCTGTGTTGTTGCTTTGACTTCAGGGCAGCAGGAATGTCTAAGCTCTACTGCCTCTAGTGGCTGGTTAGGGGATGGCATGACAAACGAGTGTTTAAAGCATGAGATTAATGCTTTGTTTGCATATTGATGCATTGTTAGCATGCATCATGAATGAGAATATAACAGTAGCTAATTCTCCTTCTAAATCAAAATCTCAGAATGAGCTGAGACAGATGGGTCAGCATTTATTCTGAAACAAAGAAGCGGATGTACATTAATAATTTAACATGAAAGGAAAGCATTAATTCTGCTTGTAATATAGGTTTAGTCTTTTTATACTCCAGTTGCCACCAAAAATCATTCACTGCCTCAGTGCTGTAGGTTTGATAGACGGACCAAAATAAACTCTAATCGAGTTGCCCAGCCAAAGAAAGCTGGAAAAATCTCTGACCCCATACTTTTATTTTTCCCTTGTGTAAAATACTTGGATGTTTTTTCCACAAACACAAAAATAAGACACAGTAAAGTTTCATTTGCTCAGAAACAGTGTTAGAAATACTAATTTAGTTATTCAGCTCTTCAGATAATGTTGTCCATGCACGCACAGGCCGGTTTATGTGGTGAAGTGAAAGGCGCTATCATATATGATGCCCCTTTAGAATTGAAATCTATATTAGGATGGCTGCCACTGTTAGTGCACTATAGCTAATTCTGTGTAGTTGACCCAGACTGTGTTATGGCTGAGACCCCTGCCTCCCCCCTGAGTGGTCCTGAATTAACAACATGCAGTCTTTGTCCCAGTGGAGGAGATCTGCTAAGCACATCAATTCTTAGCACCATCTTAGCCACGCTTAGCCTGCAGATGTACAGACCTTAGTCAGACTATTATAGTTGACTGGACACTATATTTATTATATTACATGAAAGAAAACAAGGTTGTGCATTCTATTTAATATGTTGTTGTTGTTTTTTTTAAGGTCAAATCTTTGTCCACAGCCCATGTTTGTCTGGACTCTATTTAACTGATGTTCTGTCATCTTATCTTTTTTTGTATTTGCATTATTAATGCTGTCCAAACTTATACATTTTATGGTTTTCTGTATTGTTTGTTTGCAAATACTGCTTGTCATCTTTTTAAACTGTCGAACATCTTTAAGACATTTTTTTTGTCATATATGCAATTTGTTTGTCAATTTGTCATATATGCCATTTTTAAATGTTTATTTATTTATTTATTTGTATTGTTTATTAATTTATTCCTGCCTTGGAGTTACCTGAAAACATTTAACAAACGTATAATAAATACTATTATAAAAATAATTAATATGAAATAAATGTATATTAAATATATTGAATTAATATAAAATTAAAATAAAAAATAATACATTTCTAAGTATTATGAATATAAATATACAATAAATTAACATTTATATAAATATTACAAAATGTATATAATTGTATTTTAATAAATATATATTTATATAAATACATTTTTAAAATATTTAGAAAATTTAAATTCATTAAAAGTATGATTTTTTTTTTTTTTTTTTAATCTATTTATTTATTTTGTTTACATCAGTGAAATATTGGCAGTGCAAGTAGACTGCCCTGAAAAAGACACATTAGTAGAGAAAATTGGATGATCAGTGCCTTGGGGACAAAGTGTGGCACCTTTTTTTATCTTGGACTGCTCAGATCCTTACTGAGGGTTATCACCCATACGCCAGCAGGACTCCCAGTATTTACTTGTCTGCTGAACATAATATCCCGTTTCCTTCCTCTGAAAGTGAGATGGGTGAACAGGGTGCTGTTCACCGAACTGAGCTGGGACGCAGGCCAGCAGGGATAATGCTGTCTGAGATATCGCCCTTACAGGAAGAGGCTCATCTCTAACAGGAAATCTGTCTGCTTTACTTTCCAGTTGATGGGTAGAATGAGGGATTTATTTGTCATGCAAAATGGATTCTGGTGCATTTCATTGCAGGGTTGTAAGCCAAGCAGGCTTTATGTCTCTCAGTAGATGTAGTCGAATAGTTTTTAATACATTTAAGATATTATATTTCTGTCCTGGTGTACAACCAGGCTTTTTATTTTCCATGTTCTCTCAAAGGCCATAAATCAAATAAAATGATAACTTAATTAATAATATTGTCTTCTCTTTTTTGGATCTTCACAGAGAAACTGGCTGAGGCACAGCGCCGATTTGCAACTTTGCAGAATGAGCTGCAGTCGTCTCTGGATGCCCAGCGGGAGAGCAACGTTCCAGGGCTGCGCAGTCACCGCAAAACGGTGTTTCCTTTGTCCAACAAAGAGCGCAACAAACATCGCAACATCAAAGACCTGCAGCTGGCCTTCAGCGAGTTCTACCTCAGCCTCATCCTGCTGCAGAACTACCAGGTCTGATAATTAATTGTTGTTGTTCGTCTCCTGTTGTGAATGTTGTTCTGACTCCCTCTTGGGTTTCTTGACCTTTCCACTGTTTTGTTTTGGGGGGTTTTTTCTCAGCTGATGAGACAACACCCAAAGCTCAACAGATGCTGGTGATCAGCAATGCCTATTCTTTTTAACTGGATTCTAATTAATTTTCATTTAAAAAATATATATTATTATTACTTGTATTTAATAATTCTTTTTACTATTTAATTAATTATTAGCCTGCCATGAACTCATGAACCATTGATCTGATCTAAATGTTTATGTTTAAATTCTTGAGGTATGTTTCATAGACAAATATTAAATTTAAATGGATGAGTTAGACTGGATAGTCAACAGGTGTCCATTAAACATGTGAACCGCTTTAACACAGTTAAAAAAATATCCCAGGATGCACCACATGTCCAGAGTGCACAGATCTGGAATATATGTTATTGCATGACTTTTTTTCTAAAACATCTGATTGTTTTATTCCATTACTCTAAATAGCAATAATAAGGAATGAGTAGATGTGTCTCAACATAAAGAAGTACAGAATTTTTCTTTCCTGTTTTAGAAGAAGGACAAAAATTCTTAATTTCATATTCTTATTTACCCTAATCACAGAATCTGAACTTCACTGGATTCCGTAAGATTCTGAAGAAACATGACAAGATTCTGGACACACAGCGTGGAGCTGATTGGCGTGTGGCTCACGTGGAGGTGGCTCCATTCTATACCTGCAAGAAAATCACACAGCTCATCTCTGAGACCGAGGTAGACTGCCTGGCTCCACATTTGGACTTCTGGTTTCCTGCTTGTATCATGATCTGATTGTATTGGTGTTAGTGTAAACACCCATAGCTGCTGAAAATGATAAATGATACTTAAAACCCTAGAGCACATTAGAATGAAGTGGAATTCAGGGCAGAAATGACTAAACTAAAGAATGGTGTCTGACCTTTGACCCTTGTGTGCCCAGGCTCTGGTGACCACAGAGCTGGAAGGAGGTGACCGTCAGAAGGCCATGAAGAGGCTAAGAGTTCCACCTCTTGGAGCAGCACAGGTGAGAAGGAAACTCATAGATAGTACATGCAGACACACACACACATGCACGCAGCAGTTGTGTAACGTTATGCTCGCCCACCTGGTGTCTGAGAGCCAATTTTAATAGCTTAATATTGAACATCTGGTTGATTCTTGATCAATTCTTCAGCCATCCATGAAAGATGTTCTTCTCTTTAGGGTTTCAGGATTTGATGGGTCTCAGGAACATATATAATGAATTTTCACATGCTAAGATTCTGATTCTGACTGTTTTCTTTTTATAGTAATTTTCTACCTATTCAAATTTTTTATTTTTTAAAATAAGAGGTTAATTTTCTAAATGACTTGTTATTTTTACACATACATCACTGGAGTCTCTGGAGCAGTAAAGTCTGCTTCAAAAGAACATGAAGGTTATGTGTCTGTATTAAATATTTAATTAAAATGTATTATTGGTAGAATCAAAGGTATTTTATATACTGTAATCAATGAAGTGCACATAGTTTATTTTTTGATTATTTTAGGGATAAATACAAAATGCTAAAGCAAAACCCACATGGAGAGCAAAAAGTATGCTTGGTGAAGAATAACATAATAGCAAACAGCCCATGAAAAGCGTGTGAAAAATATCTGCAGTGTCTTTTCATGTAGTACTTTTAGTTCTAGGTCAATAACAGTTGTGTAAGTACACGGGAACTATACAATGCAAAAGACAGAGTGGGTGGAGAGATACACCTGTGCTTGGAACATCATGTACAATACATTGCAGGAATAGAATACTGTTTTACCTTTAATGGAGAGAATGTATGTGTTTCCCTGTCCTTTGCACAACATAAATGTAAAATATGGTTTGCTGTAGAAAAAAAGAAGGTTAACAGACATATTTGAGTTGAAGCCATCTGCTAGCTAACTATTCTAAGTAACTGTAGTGACAGAACTTGAAATGTTAAGTTTCGATGACATAAAATATACCATTATTTTAACAATTCCCCAAGTGCAAATGCTAATGCAAAGCCATTTTTTCAGTGTAGGTGTATATTGTAATAAAAAGCTACATTGAGATGCATTCCTTGCTTTAGAATAAGAACAGCAGTGATTTAAATGTGCTTTTTCTCAACCTCAGCCTGCACCTGCCTGGACCACCTTTCGTGTGGGACTGTATTGTGGGGTCTTCATTGTCCTGGCTATCGCCTTTGTCCTTATTGGTACAGTTTTTACCTTGTTACACACTTAATCCATATGCTTCTTGTTACATACATTTTATCCAGTGTATAAATTCCAGCACTTCTGATAATGTACGACTCATTTGTGTTAGAACAGTGCAGTCATTTATATAAAACTCTTCCCTCTCAGGTGCTTTTTTCATTCGTAATCAGAACATCTGGCCGCTGGTGCGCATCTACCGTGGCGGTTTCCTGTTGATTCAGTTTCTCTTCCTCTTGGGGATTAATACTTATGGCTGGAGGCAGGCGGGTGTCAATCATGTGCTGATCTTTGAGCTGAACCCTCGAAACAATCTTTCACATCAACATCTGTTTGAGGTGAGACATGTCATGTAGACGGGAAGCCTGTATATACACTGCCTTTCAAAAGTTTGGGGTCTGTTTATTTTATGTTTTTGAAAGAAGTGCTTACAAAGACTGCATTTATTTGATAGAATCCAGTAAAAAAAAAGTAATATTGTGAAACATTATTACAATTTTGAAATAACTGTTTTCTATTTTAATATATTTTAATTTATTTCTGTGTTGTAAAACTGAATTTCCAGCAGCCAATACTCCAGTCTTCAGTGTCACGTGATCCTTCAGAAATCATTCTAATATGCTGATTTGGTGCTCAGTGAAAATTTCTATCTATTATCAATGTTGAAAACTGTTGTGCTGCTCAATATGTTTGTTAAAGTTGATATATTTCTTTTCAGGATTCTTTGATGAATAGATGATTTTCAGGATTCTTTGATGAATAACATGTTTTTTACTGCCTCTTTTGATCTATTTAATGCATCCTTGCTAAATAAAACTTTAATTTCTTTTTAAAAAATCTTTCTTGCCCAAACCTTTTGAATTAGAGTACATTGTATTCAGACAGATAAAATAATAAGAAAGGAATGGAAAAACTTTTGAAAATCAGAATAATAATGCTTCTGTATGTTCAATTTGATCCTTTTCTCTTGCTGTAGATCGCAGGGTTTTTGGGGGTGTTGTGGTGTCTCAGCATCCTATCCTGTCTGTTTGCGGACTACACTTGGCTCCCTATGCAGGCAAACCCCCTCATCCTCTACGGCTTCATGGTGCTCTTCCTCATCAACCCCTTCAAAACGGCCTACTACAAATCCCGTTTCTGGCTCATCAAACTTTTGGTGAGAGACAAAACCATTCAATTTTATGAACATACTGTAGAGCTTTCAATAGCCACAAAAACATTAATGATAAATAGTGAAAAACTTTTTACGCCAACATAATAAACACAGGCTATTGCATGCTGTTAATTGGCTCCATGCAGATATGCAACACCCATTTATTTTATGATCCAATCAGTTCCAGATGGATTTAAAAAGTCCCAAGTTTAACTTAGAAATGTGTCAAATTAGAAGTAAAGTGGGTTATAAACAGCATTTGCAATCATCATATCCTGTCTTGTTTAAGACAATAAAATGTTAATGTTTTCCCTGGAATCACTCTTAATAGCAAAGCCACCTGTTCCGACACATTTCTAATGAATTCAGTTAAATTAGCTAAGAGCTAATTGGCTCATTTCAGTGCACAAACAGCTTCATCCATTTCCATTACCTATTTGTATTAGTTTTATAGTAGTAACAATTGTTTTCCCCTTGGCCTGTGTGAAAAAAAGATAGTGTGTGCATGTATACTGCTGTTAAAAAGTCTGGAGACCTTTTAATGTTTGTGAAAGAAGTCTCTTATGCTCACCAAGGCTGCATTTATCTGATTAAAAAAAGAAATATTATTACAATTTAAAATAATGATTGAAAGCTTGATTTTCAGCAGTCATTACTCCAGTCTTCAGTGTCATTAAGCTGATTTTATCATGCTGATTTGGCACTCAAGAAACATTTCTTATTATTATCAGTGTTGAAAACAGGTGTGCTACTTAATATTTTTTTTGAATCGATGAAATAAAGAGTTCTAAATAACAGCATTTATTTAAAATATAGATGTTTTGTGACATCATAAATGTCTTTACTGTCACTTTTATATCAGTTTATTGATTCTTGCTGAATAAAAGTATTCATTTCTTTCAAAAAAATATATTACCGACCACAAACAGTGTTTCAAAGAGGTCTGTGAGCGTACATGAGCGATTATGCGTGTGGCACGGGGCAGTGAGGTGAGGGAAAATAGATTGCAGCTCTATCTCTGCGGATGTGAAGACTGTGCCTGTGCAATCATTATTGGGATGGAGCCATCAGTAGCCGCCTGCCTCTGTCTCACTGCCCTCCCCACATCTAATTGACCTAGACTGGAGCCTTATTCCTCGGAGCACACGCAGACACACACACACACACTTCCTGTAGATTAAAACCGACACGTACTGATGACCAAACAGTGGGTGGCTTTCTTCCCAGAGCTCAAACGCGCTGTCACACTCAAGCTGTGCATCACACATGCAGCTGTAACACTGAAATGTACCTCACATTCAGACCTGTATGTCTAAAACCATTTTTGTGGAACGCCTTCACCTGTTTCATCAGGAAAAAATAACTGATCAGAGTTTGTGTGGGGGGAAATCAATATTCACTAGCATTTGAGCCTCAAGAGTATGATGGCATAGATCGGTGTAGTGCAAAACTGTGTCGCTGGGAAATGTCAGCGGTGGCCTGAAGGCTGAGAGAGGTACATTTTCATTTCATAGGGTAGAATGATTGAGCCACAGGAAAATATGTGGGGGAAAAAAGAAAAAAAAACAATGTGACTCAAGGGCAACAAAGGTGACTCGCCTAAGTTAGCATTTAGCCTACATGTATAGTATGTAATTGTATATTATTTCATTTATTTATTTTTTTATAAATATATTGTTATTTTTCTTCACATAATTTATTTAACTATTATTTATTGTCTAATTGTGTAATTTTTATTTACAGTTTTATAAAAGATTATTTTATTATATATTATTTAGCAATAATATTAATTTTATTTACTTGTTTATATATATATATATATAATTTATTGTTAGTTAGTTTAATAAACATTTTTATTTACTTTTTTCTTTTTTTTTGCTTGAGTATTTTTTATTTACAGCTCTTATTTTGTAATTGTTGAAAGTTCTATGCGCATGCATATAAAAAGTGAATCTTTGTAATCAAACTTTATTTTTTATTTGTTACCGATATTTTACCCAGACGAAACACATGGGGAAAAAATCTTGATTTAATAATTCACGATCTTCATCCAAATAACCTGCTTCAACATGGCAGAAAACCTATTTTAAAATAGTTTTTAGAATTAAAAATGGTTATTACTTTTTTCATGCGCATCTCTCTCTATCACAGGCAGCTGTGTATGATTTGTAAATATGTGGTCATGTGACAAACATGATTCACAGTTTGCTAGATTCATGTTGAAACACATCTAACCCCATCGTTACATAGACACAGTTAAAGCTGGTTTATTGGTGAGGAGCTGATGAGATAGCAGATGATCAGCCAATAAAAACTCTATTTAGTTGCTTTCAGCCAGCGGAGTTCTCATTAAGATTTTCGCTCGCTGTCTCATAGAGTTCAGTCTGCCTCAGGGATAAGCTGTTATACATATACCACCACATTTTGAGAGAAAAAAGCAGTTGTGATGAATTCTGCTGTCTATTGTTGTCCTCAATGTTTACCTTAAGCACTGTATACAGTATACATATTTAAACTTAATATTTTCTGTGTTTGAAGTTCCGTGTGTTCACTGCCCCGTTCCACCGAGTGGAGTTTGCAGACTTCTGGCTGGCAGATCAACTCAATTCCCTGGTCATTGTGCTCTCAGATCTGGAGTATCTGGTCTGTTACTACAGCATGGAGCTGCAGTGGGGAGATCGCAGCGGCTTACTGCCCTCCACATATGGTAATTGATTCAGGATGAAGCCATCCTGAAATGTACTGATTCAAGTTTTGACCGACTGAGCCATTCATGTTGAACCATCCCAATTTCAACATTAGATGTAATGGTAGATGAATGGCTGGTTTTGATTAGTTGCTCTTGCAAATGAATTCAGATTGCACAGACAGTGTCAACACATATAGGAGTTCTTCAGGTTCAGTGGAGTTTATCATGTGAAATGGACCAGGAAATTCAGAGCATCAGCGGTTGTCTAATGGTGCAGAAATTTGTCGCACCAGCTCAGGAATATAGGAAAATACTGAGAAATAAGAGGAGGGAAAGTGAGCGAGAGAGTAGGAGAAAGTGAGCATTTTCTGCTGGCCTGATCAGATGAGTAGTTCAGATTTTTAGGCCTGTTCATTGTTAGAAAAATATGCTTTAAAATATAATTTTTTTTATTAATAAAGTTTTATACTTTTTATTTTATTTTGTATATATTATATATATTTATATATTAATAATGTTAATAATAAAATATTTTGTTTGAATTATTAATCATTATTAGTAGTTATATTATTAGTATTAATTAATTTCAATTTAATTATCAATAAAGATCTCTGAAATTTGTGAATTTAGAACTCTGTGACAGTTCTAAATTCACAAACACATCTGGAAAATTATAGCATATTACTCATTACTGATTTGTTTGTTATATTTAACTCATTACTGATTTATTTATTAAAAAGACATTTAAAAGATTGTCAGTCTAGACATTCTTGCGGTTTTGACAAAAACTTGCAATTTTGAATACATTTGTAATTTGCGTATATTTTGTGTACATGTAAAATATATTTCAGTTTATCAAAACTAGACAAGTCAAATCAAGACAAAATTGTTGAGCCCTGAATTATTATATAATCATCATTTAAAGCTGCAGTCCGTAAGTTTTGCCTCTTTGTCGCCATCTCTGTTTGAAAACCTGCAATTGCAGCTGTTTGCGGAATTATCTTCCTTGCGTGCGTTGTGCTCCGGCACGACTCCAGCGTGGATGAATCTAATGTTTTGAGGAGTATGTGTGGCAGTCAGTCACCACACCGGTGTGGATATTTACTGTAGTTCGCATTCACAGATTCTAGCCTACGTCTTGGAATATATGATTCAAATAAGAATTTGCACCGAATATTGTCATCTGAACAAGTAATAAGTCTGCCACGTTTGTTCTGACCAACTGAGGAAAAAAGCATTAAAATAAATCGCGCTACCAATGGCGATTTAATCTAAATGAGCTCATATCACATCAAACCGTGCAAATTATTATTATTGTTATACTTTATTCTCAAATTATTAATGTTAACAACATCAGCATTACGTGACTATGTGAAGTGTGTATAAGCGAGTAGATTTAAATTTCTGTACAGTCTAATCTCTAATTGTCATACTACTCAAATTTCATATTAAGAAATTCTTTTAACCTAAAAAGCAAATCATGCTCCCTTTGACTGGTTGTCTTTAAAACACAAATCTTGTGTAATCCCAGGCTATCTGTAATCAGAAGCACATTTATAACTGGAATATTTGTTTTTTTTATTTCATTCACATATGTTTCATAAACACATAATCCTTTCTGGATTAAAATCTGCCATCAAAATGATAAATGTAATTATTCCAGCTGCTGTGAGAAACGGCTATAAATAATCTGCCATCAAAATGATAAATGTAATTATTCCAGCTGCTGTGAGAAAAGGCTATAAATGATCGACCACCTGCAGGATCCTCACATGCGATAGCCTAGTAGCCGGGACAACTTCTTTATGTTTACAGACGTGACGTAATGACGCAGCAGCATGCTCAAATTTCCCACAAAAACCTACCTGTACCACTCAAATTAGAAAACATTATTATAAGCTAATCGTTGTGAATCGGGTTAAAGTAAGGCGATAGTTTTGAACACTGGCTGGTTATGTACTTGCTCAAATATTGATTTCGGATAATTTTTAACCAAAAAAAGTTACGGACTGCAGCTTTAAATTTCTAGAAATACATATATTATAATATAGTAGTATAGTCTTGGAAATATCAATGTGTATTCATAATTTTATCCTCCTAAATAAGGTGATCAACGGTGTAACAGCTACTCTTATGGAGTTCGGGCTATCATCCACTGTCTGCCTGCCTGGCTGCGGTTTGTTCAGTGTCTGCGACGTTACCGTGACACCAGGAGGGCCTTCCCTCACCTGGTGAATGCTGGGAAATACTCCACCACCTTCTTTGTGGTCACATTTGCGGCCCTCTACAGAACTCATAAAGGTAAAAACAAACAAACTGCAATTAATTACAAAGATTACATGATCATGTGACCAGAACATTCATTATAGTTAGCTTGACAAACAGACCATTATGAAGGTCTGTGCCAAGTTTGGTGAATGTAGCTTAAAAGCTCTAGAAGTTTGTCTTGATGGATTCTGGGTAAAAACTTGTGGTACTCCATTTATTTATTTTTACATTGTTGTATGAATGCATTGTTGTATTTTTACAGTTCTGTGGAATTTACTGTTGTAATCTAACATTGATTCAAATTAAAAATGTTCAGTACAAAGAGCACCTGTGTGCCATTGTTTGCCTACAGATACAGATGAATAGGCAACAGAAGCATGTTTTGAGAAAAGCAGAGAAAGGAAAAAATGACCCTGAGCCTGTCCTTGTCTGTTAGAGACATGGTTTATATAGCAACACAAACAGTAAGCATCTAAGTTAGAGATGAATTGCACAAAGACAGGGACATTAAAAGTTTTGTAAGAAACAGGTTGGAATTACATTTAAGCATTAAAAAAAGAGCCGCCTGCTTTATAAAAACTCATTTGTCGCCAAGCAGCAGATTTTGCGTTCAATCACAGTAATTATCCTACATTCGGTTCATATGAACTCTAAGAGTTTAAAAGCATGCCATTAAGATTCCAGACATATCCCTTGTCTCTATCTACAATTAACATCTGATTATTCTGCCACTGAAATTCATCTGAAGTGCAAAGACTGCTGCTCAAACATGTCTCTCAGTCTGTCTGTCTCACTCTCTCTTATCAAACAGTCAGCCTTCATGCCTTCCCGTATCACTTCAGAAAGACAACTTCAAGCCCAAATCGATCTCAAAGCACTCGGCTAAGCCGTTTCATTATTTATATGCACAGTGCACACATGACTGTTTCTGGTTATTTCCCTTAAATGTCAGTGTTTAAATATCAAGCATGGGTGCATTTTGCTTTAGACTTCAGTGTGTATTAGAAACATCTCTGTATCAGTGATATAGATGAAGTCTGGACCACAGCCCAGCACATATGCCTCATATGACTAAAAGAGGCTGTATTCAACCCAACGCATTTGATGCATTCATTAGGATCCACTGGAGACGTACCTGGCAGAGAGCCCGTTTAATATATGAATGCATCAAAAATCACCTCCATCATTTGTGCCCTGATTGAAACTGATGTTCACTCTAGTAAGCTGCCCAGATAAATGAGTCTGTTGATTCGATTTATTTTCGTTTTCGTGTAAACTAATCCCAAAGGAATGCAACATGTCTAAGCATAATTAATGTTTAAATTAACATTAGTCATGAGCCAAACCGGTGTGTGAGATTGAGATCAGTGGTAGACGTGAAAAGCATTACTGTTTCCCCATGTGTAGTGTGGCTTAATGGTGAAAATCTAGATTTGCAACCCAAAGGTTGTAGATACAGTCCCAATGATTTGTAAGTCTTTGCTAACTTGAATTATTAAAGTGTTACTCACCCTGCACCCTAGCATTATGACTGCAAGTTTTGCATTCCTAAGTGTTTATTATCTCTCTTTATCCGTTCTTATGTCAATAACCCCATTACACCTGCTTTCATGTTTTTAGTGCTCTATTTCATTGTAGAAATGGTAGAGGGTCGATATCCTCAAAGATTTCATTTAAACTTTAATGAGAAATGTCGATCTGAGCTTAGGCTCAGCTGAAGAACTCCAACAAGACAGAGCAAAATGCAAACAGAAGATGCTATGTGAACACTAAAAAACGATTAAAGGAGAGAGAAAATATGAAGCGAGAGAGCAAAAAAGAAAAGAGGAAATGAACTATCCAGAGGAGGCTGAGCTGTAATTGCCTGCCTGTGGCGAGACAGAACAGTATAAGTGTATTTCTAAAATAATGATGAAGCTCTGAACTACTGAAATATGTTTGGATTTTTTCACTCTCTCTGTATCAGACCTGGATCTTTGAACAAAACAAGTGTTTTTGAGGAGAGCTATAGAGATTTGTACATGGAAAGGTGTTTACCTGCTCTGATGGCTTCATCACAGATTTAAACTGTTTCATGTGGACCACATTTACCCAGGAATATGGTACAGATGGAGTATGCAGCAATGATTGGCTATGTAGTCAAAGATCGCAGCTTGATTTTAAACATCACTGTTGTAATGTCTTAACCCTCACCATGTGCATAAATATAACAGTTTAGTACAGATTAATCAGTTGACATACGTGGTCAGTATTGGTTTGGAGCAATATTTTTCCATACCTGGGTTTTAATTTCAGTGATGCTCTTTTCTATTCTATTCATTTGTTTTTTTCTTTTGTCATGTAGCCATCATGTGGTCAGGTGCAGAGAGTGACACATTCTATTTCCCATTCTCTACTCTATTACCAAAGACAACTAAATGCTGTCCATATTAAAAGGATGAAAACCATTTCTTCTGTGTCCGAGGATTCGGAGGGATGTTGAGAGGGATTTGTGGTCCTGTGGGAAATGGGTTTGGGTCATCATGGTTCATGTTTACATAAATCTGCCATTGTGTTAATGAGATTAAACCAAAGTTCAGTGTGACCAGTAGCGGGCAACCGATATGTTTTTTAATGGCCGATGCTGGTGCTGATATCTAAAGATCAGGGTGGAAGATGGCCTGTATTTACATAGTTCAATATAATGATGAGATCTGACAAATGAGATAGAATATTTACTTAAAATTCACTGAAACATTGAAAATACAAATGTGTATTATTATCAGTCGACAAGGATGTTATTGGTGAATGCTTTTGTGCTCAAATTGACCAAAATCTGAATATCCATAAATCTGATAAATATCCATTTATCTTATTGCAAGCAAAAATATAATGGGCCAGTGTACTCTAATGTACATTACTGTTCAAAATGTTGTTGTTTTTGAAAGAAGTATTTCATGCTCTCAATAGCTGCATCACAAAACAATAATATTGTGAAATATTGCATTTTAAAATAACATTTCTATTTGAATATTCGGATTTCATAATAACAGTTGTGCTGCTTAATATTTTTGTAGAGGCCACCATACATTTTTCCTCATTCTTTGAAAAGAAAAAGAACAGCATTTATTTAAAATAGAAATTTCTTTGTCTGACCTCTGAATTACTCAAGCTATTTTTGCTCCTGTACCATTAATACTTCTATAGGTAAGCGACTTAGTTTTTGTAGAAGATCTAGTTTTGGTAAGACTGAACAAATGTGCATTAAATATAGAAATATCTTGCAGTGTAAAGTTTGAAACAAAAGACTGAAAATCAGCCTAAGCTTCTCCAGGTTGCCTCTGGCCTGTGTGAAGAGATTAGACTTGCATTGCTCTCTTATGGGGTAAACATCTGGATTTTCGGGTAATGTAGGGACACCATATTCAACATGGGCACTCGTAGCTCAAGGCTGAAATAGGATGGACAAGGCTATTATGTGTTCTGGCAAAAAATGTCCTCCGCTGGTTTCCTGGCGCCTGGATGGCAGCGTGTGAAAGGCTTTATTAAGACTGATGGGCCTGTTCCAGATTCAGCCCCGTCTGCTGTCTGAGGCCTTAAGAGATTTAACCATTCACTGACCTGAGACCTGCACTGTTCCACTATCTGATAAATGTCTCGCCCCCTATTAACTTACACTGATGCTCTAATATTGTACTGCAGGACGGCTCTTTCTCTTATATTTCAGATTATACAGCTACTTCAGGGTTATTTATGTTTAAGGGTTGTACTGTTGGTAATATTGGTCTTAGTTGCAGCAAAAATAGTTGCTGATCAAATTACATGTAGTTCTTTTTATATACTTGTTATAAATGTCAAGGAATAAGGAGCAAGAATATAAAGAGCTGTATGCAGTCTATTAATTTTGGGGAATAGTAATGTAAAAATAGCTGAATATACACTTTTGTTCAAAAGGTCTGTGATACTTTTTGATGTTTTTGAAAGGTAGTCTTATGCTCGTAGTCTTAAGGTTCCATTTATATTATCAAAAATATACCATCACCACAATATATATCATCATACCGCCCAGACCTAGCTGCATGTATCTGATCAAAAATGCAGTTTAAAAGAACTGTTTTCTATTTTATTTTGAAATGTATTTTATTCCTGTGATGGCAAAGCAATCAATTTAATGCATCATTGCTGAATAAAAGTGTATATGTATATGTAAATATAAATATTTTTCTTGTTCTTGTAACTTTAACTAATAGTTAATACTTTAGTTATAGTTATTAGTCATTGTACCATTGTTTTTAACCATATAAAAACATTATTATATGACATGGTAATTTGACATTGAATGACCTTTCAGTGACCTGGATGAATAACCACAGATACAGTGGCGCTGGTACTGCAAACAGTGGTCTCAAACAAAAACAAAATATGTAGTATCTGGAATCCAACTGTTTCTTGTTTGAAGCGTACAGTAGATGGATGGATGGTAAACAGTCTCCCTCTAGTGGACATGGTGGTAATATCAAGTTCACTTTCTCTGTTTCAGATCAGAAACATGCTGATGCTGAGGTGTTTTTCTACATGCTAATCCTGTCTTCAGTCGTCAGTTCACTCTACACACTGATCTGGGACCTAAAGATGGACTGGGGTCTTTTTGACCGCAATGCAGGCGAGAATATCATCTTGAGAGAGGAGATTGTTTACCCACATAAAGTAAGATATGGCAGAAAATAATATACCATCTTAAAGCACCATATTGAATGTCAAAACATATAGTAAAATATGTTGTGTAGTGGTCAAAGATCTGCTGTGGTGAGCACAATGTTGTAGGTACAAACCTTCCAAGGAGCAACGCAAAATAATTCTGTTAATCAGTTGGTTTGCTGCTTTTAAGATAGATTAGTTGGAACCATTTGGAGACCAACAAACCAGCTTAGGTTGGTTTAAGATGTTCTCATTTTCAGCAGGGATAATGTAACAGTCAGCAGGGATATTTATCTGTTGCCTCCAGTTCTCATAATGTCATTTCCGGTTCTTTTTAGGCCTACTACTACTGTGCCATTATAGAAGATGTGATCCTGCGCTTCGCCTGGACACTGCAGATCTCTCTGACTTCCATGACTGCCATTCCTTCCATCGAGGACATCGTGGTTACCATCTTAGCTCCTCTGGAAGTGTTTAGGTGAGATGCTTGTGTAAAACCAAGGATTCTCAAAACTTTCATCAGCTGAATCCCTTTGAGCTAAAATATTTACTTGAAGTAGCCCCTGAGATTTTAAGTTACTATTTCAATAATTTAACAACACATTCACATTCTCGGTTCTCTAATGTTGGTTAATTGTCACGTGACATGCAGGTAAAGAAAGAAAATATTATATTTTATTTATTTAAAATTTTTATGATTTAAGCAATTATTAGCTTTTCTTGAACTCACAACCCCCCTCCAGTTCCCTCACGAAGCCCATTTCTGTTGTAGAACATTCTCTCTTAATCTTTTCTCTTTCTTTGAATTTTTTTCTCCCTCTAGACGTTTTGTGTGGAACTTCTTCCGTCTTGAGAATGAGCACTTGAATAACTGTGGTGAGTTCCGAGCGGTGCGGGACATCTCAGTGGCTCCTCTAAACGCTGATGACCAGACACTGCTGGAGCAGATGATGGACCAGGAGGATGGAGTCCGCAACAGGCAGGGCAAAAAGAGCTGGAAACGGAGCTACAGCCTGTCCTTACGACGACCCCTGCTATCCTCACAGTAAGAGATTTATATTTTTTATATGGTATTTATCATACATATTTAATAGAGTTATGAGTAGGCAGCTTCGTTTAGTACACCTATATAACATTTAACTGCATTAAAATTACAAATAAGACTTAATGATTATTAACTTTCATAACTCATTAACAAACATATAATGCAATTCGCTGAATCAATGTTAAAAATAAAACAAAAACTAATTGATTTTATTCAAGTCAAAAATATTATTTAAAGGCATAGTTTACCCAAAAATTAAAATGACCCCATGATTTACTCAACCTCATGCCATCCTAGGTGTATATGGCTTTCTTCTTTCAGACAAATACAATCAGAGTTATATAAAAAATGTCCTGGCTCTTCCAAGCTTTATATGGCAGTGAATGGGGGTCGAGATTTTGAAGCCCAAAAAAGTGCGTCCATCCTTCATAAAAAAGTACTCCACACGGCTCCAGGGGGGTTAATAAAGGCTTATTGTGTTTATGTAAGAAAAATATCCAAATTGAAAACTTTATAAACCGTAATCTCTAGCTTCCGCTAACTGTCGTACTCGCGTTCACGAGAGAGTGGCGTTCCAGCGAAGGACTTCATGGGGTAATTTTCATTTTTTGAAATATCCCTTTAACATCAGCAAACCAATTTAAATGTATTAGGTTACACCAAAAAAGCTACATTTAAGGATTAGATTAGGGTAAAAATTTTAGTTGCTGATTTAAAATAACTTTTCTATTTTAATATTTTTAAAATGCAACACTTTTTATGGTGTAAATAACATATCTACTATATAATAGCTACTATACATTTCTAATATGCTGCTTTGGTGCTGAAGAAACATTATTTTATTATTATCAATGTTGAAAACAGTTGTGCTGCTTAATATTTTTGTGGAAACCATGACCATTATCCATTTTGGTTTTCGAAAGTTCAGATTCTAAAGTTCAAAAGAACAGCATTTTTTGATATATGACATTTTTGCAAAACAAAAATCTTACTGACTCCCAACATCTGAGTTTGGTAAGTGGCACTTTTTGGAACTGCTTAATATAAGTGTGTTTCTCTGACAGGTCTAAGAAGGATACTAAGGTGCTCATTGAGGATACGGATGATGAGGCCTTCAGCTGAGCCCAGATCTCGCTGTCACGCCACCTGTCTCTGCTTTCTATTGGTTCCTCACAGAGCTGCCTCAGCACACCTGATCCCAAACACACACAGATACACACATATTCACATACTCTCTCTTTTCAACACTCACAACAGCCGTGAGACACATCAGGACACAACAATGACATCGTACAAACACTAACACACACATACAACAAAATAGACAGTACACACACATAGGAAAAGCCAAGTCTGGAATTTTCCTCAAGGTACATTTTTTATTAGACTTTTTCTTTTTGTTCCTCTATATTGATACTTTTTTGTACATTTGTTTAGGTTTTTGAATCTATATTACTGCATATGACTGAGTCCAAACGAGTCGTTCGTTGTAGTTTTTGAAACGTGATTTCTGTTAAATAAAATATTTCCTTTTGGAGTGGACTTTGAGCTTTGTAACTTTCCAGATCTTTTTTATGCTCAAACAGCAACATTACAGACTTAATGTGAAAAAGTGAAAAAGCATAATAGGACCCCTTTAAAATTATATCTAGGAACTACAGGGAGGAGAGTTATCATATGAAAGAATAATATAATATCGTACAATGCACGGACTCGAGTCGCACACTATAAATGTTATAACTGCAGCGCATTTTAAAATATCAACAGCTGTAGCTGATGTTTGTTATATTCTTTTTAATGTTTTTTTTTGGGGGGGGGTTCTTTCATTTTATTTGTTTTTTGAGTTGTCATGACATCAGAGTATGGCCCTGGTGGCACTTTTTGGAAATGCTTCATATTTCTAAACCACAAAAAACATACAATGTTTAGAGATTTATTGTTTTGTCATATTTAATATGCAAATATGTTTTAGTTTTTAACATGCATTGCTTTGATATCAAAGCTGTCATATTTTTGCCATTTATGATTTGTGTTTGAGAGAATGGTGTGTGTGTGTGTGTTTTCTTTTGGGGAGCGATAGCTGATGCTAAATGAAAGGTTTATGTTCTGCTGTCCTCTGAGGATGTATAGAATTATTATTTTAATTGATACTTTGACCAGTGAAACTACTGTAAGTAAATCTGACATTGCGGGTTAATATTTGAAATACCATTTGGGTAAAAAAAACTAAATTCTGCCCTCTGAAAAAGATCAGATGATTCTGTGAACTATTTCAATTGTAATGATGCACTAAACTGAAAAGATTCAGGAATAATTGTCACCCAACTGCAAGCTGAATGGAAGTGGACACATTTTTATTGAACTAATGTGTTTCCTACATGGCTTTTTGTATCACTTATTAAGCATTGCCATAACCACTGCTAGCCAAAGACGAAATGTGAACACTGCCAGTCAATTATAATTCTTATGGTTGTGATATCAGTTTTGTATTGTGGTAAACCATATGAGATGTTGTGCATCAAAAAGTAGTTCCAGTGTGGTGAGGAGACATCTTTTATGTAAGCTTTTTCCTTACCAACATGGTCAGTTTGATTATTTGTATGCTTGATGAGTGTTGCAATATATTTATAATCAGTTTTACGTTAATGAAAAAAAAAAGTGATGATTTATAATGTACATTTTTGCGAGACAGCTATAACTACTTGTCTTTCATACATTTTCATACATAGTCTCTGAATTTCAAACAGCATATTTAGGAGGAAAGCATCTGTTTTTCACCTCTTTATCATAATGCTTCTATAGCAGAGAGTGAAGACTCTCATTTTAACTTACAATGATTTTATTATAATTAATATTCATTGTTGTCATCAAAAAAAGAAAACACCAGGGCTGTTTTAGCTGATATTTTTGTTTTGCTTATTTTTTCAGCTTTTAGTTTATTTCGATACTCTTACAGCAGCATGCATCCTTGTATTTTTGCAAGCACAATCTTTCAGCTGTAACTAAAATCAAATGAAAAGATGGGTCTGTCTTCACAATCTCTCTTCTTATTTACTCTTTAAAAGAAAAGTGTTAATGCTAATGAAAAAACAATGTACAGATAGCAGGCGTTGTGTTTGTGAGTAACATTTTAGTTGACTTTAGGTTTGCTTAAACACATTTGATGCAAAACTGTTAATGTTTGTATTTTGGATTACAAATCTAACACAGAAGAAAGGGAAAGCTACATGTGAATTATGGTTGCAAAAGAGTGCTATCCTCATCGAAAATGTGGTGTTACTGTGTTAATGTACAGTCCTTTTGTCCAAAATGATCTTTTGGCACACAGTGTCTTACTTTGCTGTCTTTAGTTCTTGACTCTCAGAACTGACTGAATACTTTATCGAGTAGACTATCAAGTGGCACACAACAATTGTGGTTAATTAAAAAATGAAACACTTCCTGAACCAATATCACCGTATATGGATGCTGAGCACAAATTTGCCCCATCCAGTGCTTTTTGTAATGCATTGCCAATTGTCTTGCCTGCATGCTGCTTTTGTTTTGCACTGTAAATAGTTTAATTTTGTACATTTTAAATGTTAAAGAATGTTGGTTCATTTATTGTACTAATTATTTATGTACAAGTTGGAGACTTTTGCTTTTAAATGAGCAGTATTATGGTAGATGAAGGGCATTTTTGATTAGTTACAATCCACAGTCTTACATACGTGAATTCTGTCGAAATAATGTAACTTAAGACGCTTTAGTGAATATGGAATGTGATCGGTTTTATTTACAGTAGGTATATATTTCTGCTCATAACACTTTCATCCCCAGGGTTTGTGCCCATTTGACAGGACTTGTTGGGTGACGGTGGTTTTGGGTCGATATCGTGAACTGATCTGGTTGGGGAGGATTTGGAGACGAGGGGGACATGTTAATATTCTCATTAACACCCTAAATAGGGGTTCTGTTATGAGATGAACCCTCAAAATGTAGGGTTTTTATTGTGTACATTTTTTTTTATTTTTTTTTACTTTTTCAAATACAGAACTGGAATAATACACAAGCCCTGACATCATTTCTTCATGGCGGGGGAAAACTGTCGACTTGATTGCTTGCTAACCCCACGATGTTAAGTGCTTGATATCTTTGCATCTTTTCTATCTCCTATCTTGATGTTGTATCCCTTTTTAAATACTTGACTGTGACATTGTTTGTAGTTGATAGATGGCTGTACTTTTGAGTAAGTAAAGACCTAAAGAAAAATCGAAAAAAAACTTGTGGTTCTGTGATTAACTAGAGATATAAAAAGAGAGAAAATGTCTCAGAGTCCCCCCTTTGACAGTAGTTTGTAAATGTTGAGTGTATTCTTATGATGGTTCCACTGATGATCTCATTTGTGTTTCTGTATACACTTTGGTGATCCTGTCATATTTGGGTTTTATAAACCACGCTTATTTTTAAAACCTTCATTTTGTGTCAGCCTTTTTATTTATTCAAAAACAAGAGACTGACTAAAGTAACTGATACAGTCACTTGCGGAATATTGTGACCATTCTTTTTTCAAAATGACACCAAAATGTATTACTAAAGAATGATATTTGTAATGTAATTTCTCATTGGACTGGTGAACTTTTACCTTCTACAATAAACTAACTAATACCCCATAAACAAACTTCAGATACAAATGAATACTACCGTAGAAGATGTATGCTTTATACAAGAAAATATAATAATAAATCACTAAAAGGTTTGTTTTTCTTTTTAAACAAAGATGGTTTTCCCATTTCCAGCTTTACAGTTGTCAAATATTTATCACATTACATTATAGTTTTATCAGAATTACTGGTCAAAGCACTTAATGAGCCATAAAACGTTTTAAACCAATGCGAAACAACTTTCTGTAACATTCTTCCAGTGAACAAAAAGCGTGTGCAGAATCCCATTCATGCCTGCGGCCGCTGAGATTCCGTACACTCCGCCCTCTTTCGGTTTGTGCGCATGCGCTGTTCAATTCTCCACAACTCCCTCCGTTTCCGGACGCTAGGATCGAGCGCACAGCTGCCGCCGAATTTAAAGAGACATACATCATTTGTTTAAATAATACGACCATTGGAGAGACAAAAAAATTACGTACATTGTTTCTGGTTCTCTTCGTGGATATCGATGGGGGCTCGCTATTGATCCGTACGCTTCATGGTGTAGTTTTAGTAGGGATTGAGAAGTCCGAACACACTTGGCTTGAGCTGGAAGTCTATGCTGGAGTAACTGGGTGGCCGTCCGTAAAGTAGACTGGACTTGTGGGGGGAAGAGAGCTGGGTGGCCCCCCGATACGAACTGATTTTTGCACGCCAGAACAAACTGCAAACACGGAGGGACGGTAAATCATCGTGGCTTCGGTGGCTGTTAGTGGGGAAGGAAACGCACCATGGCGAAAATTCAGGCTCGCAGCAGCACTGCGAAGCAAATCAACCAGATCCAAGACAAGGCCTATGTGGTTCAGAAGCAAGTCCAGCAGCAGCACTTTCAGAAACTAAAGGTAAGAAGCATTGCAGCAAGTGCATGCGTTTCCTTCTCTCTTACAACGCATTGTGTATTAGGAAGTGCTGTGCTGTTCTTATGCATATGGGGCATATATCAAAGCATTCACACTTGAGTGTGTGTAAATGGATTTGAAAATCGTACGCACTTATTTACACCATTTCAAGCTGCAAAAGTCGATTTATTATCGCTTAACTCACCGATTCCGGTTCAAAGCAGTGCAAGTTTACCAGTCAACATGATGGAAGTGTATCTGCTGAATTAAAGTCTAATGTTTTCTCCTTACGCGGTCGGGTTTTCACCTCTGTTCTTTGTTAAAACCAAAACCGGTGGGTATTTATTGTGGCTCCGCCAAAAATCACACTTCACACTCCGTTTGTTTCAGATTAAACCGGTTAATTTGATATAACTGTTTTTGTTGTGAAGTCGTGTGTGTTGTGACTAGCGCTAGTGCTAACGCAGCTAAGCTAAACGAGCCAGAGAGCCTTTATTCCCCTCACTGAATATGAATAAAACCACAAAGGGAATATAAACCGGCTGTTTTTCTCCTAAGCCGCTTGATTTGGGGTCAGTTTTCCTCATCGCAGTGGTTGGAGAGGAAATTGCAACTGTTCTTTTGATCTTGAATATTTCTTTTCTTGTCTTTTTATGCGTGCGTTCTTTTCTCGTTGGGGTTTTGTTCTGGTGAACAGAGAGGAAAAATCGAATAACTTTCGTTTTGTATACGTGTAGTTCAGATTTCACAGTGCTTTCTTGTTTCTCTTGCATAATTCAAAGAATGTAGACAATGTATTACTTTAATAGTAGAAGCAAATGCGAAGTCATTCACTGTGATGTGGCTCCACATTCAATAGAAATGGACTTGCTGTCCCACACATCTGTTCTGCACGAGCCAAAAATAA